TAGTGGTGGTTGAAAAGTGATCAAGACAGTTGTGGGGCTTTCAGACAAGATTTAATGGAGTTGATGAGCTTCTATGAAGCGTTTGAGTAAGATTCAATCAACAATTAAAATAAATTATGAAACCTGAATAAAGAAAAAGGCAAGATTAATTGCACAGAAAGTAGTTCCCGTTAGTGGATTCACGTGAGGATTACTTAGTTGGGTTCCCCGTGCATTGACCTTCCTGTGATGACAGATGGAAGGGTATTTATTCAAAGAAAGTAACAAACATTATGATTGTCTAAACAATAACTTATCCTGTACAAACTATACATACCCAAAAACAGTAATAAAAATTTGTTACAATTTTTTATTATTTATTTGTTTTGAAAAGCACTTCTTCATCGGTCTGTGAGGAAGGCATTGACATCTTGTATATAAATTGTAAATTGTCTCTAGACTAACAAACAGAGAGAACATGTTGTATCATGTCTTGTCTTGTTTGCCTCAAAGACCTTATAAATCACCTAGACCACTAATTAACACAATTTTATCAAATAGAACCAAAATTACAAAGAGAAAGATGAGATAAATGGAATAATGTCAATACAAGAAGAAATCAAGCTTAAGCAATCCCTCCTCAAATGAAAAAATATAGACCAGAAACAACTCATTTGAAGATGTCGGATACAGTTGCTCTACTAAAATTGTAATAAATAGGAACTTAATATATACACGCTAATATTATCACATTAAACCACTAAGATTGGTGATCCTAACATATGAAAGTCTACAATAAAACATACTACATTCTACATACATGTATCTAAACTTGTCAGCAATTGCATACACCTACTTTATCTCTGAAAATGTCTGAATGTATTATTCCCATCAGATGTTGAAATTTGCTCACAATTTGACAACAGGACACGAAATTGGTGAAGCCTTTTCTTGAAAAGGTTGCAAATCTTTTGACACAACATATTTTAGGCTTCTACACCTTGTACCTAACAAGAAGCAACAAAGTTCATGTGAAAATTAGCATATACCTGTTAATCCTTATCCAATGGCAAGTTTCATATGATATGCAATAAAAATATTAACATATATTATACTGATTAGATGGGAAAAATAAAAATATTCCATTAACAGGGTAGGAAATAGCCAAATCAATATGATTAAACTTGATGGTGACATACGAAATTTTATTTGTATATTGCAGCATCCTACTTTTATTTCTTTCTGTAACAACATTTTATTTTCAATATTTTCCTTATTAAGGCATTGTACTTTGAAGAATCTACCAAATTTTAACATTGTACTTTTATAATTTTTCTTATTAGCACATTGTACTTTGAAAAATCTTCCCAATTATAGCAGTGAAAATTGCTTTGTATGTGGATGGCATTGCTATACATGGGTCGATTTTACAAAGTACAGTGCTGTAATAAGAAAAAAATGTAAGTAGAATAATAAACAAATAGATGAAAGTAGATTGTTATTTCTTGCATTTAAAGAGCTCAGACCATAACAAAAAAGGAAAAACTTTCCATAATGTGAGAATCTAGTTACCTCAGAACATGATGCATCCAAGAGTCTGCATGATAAAAAAAAAAAAAAAAAAAAAAAAAAACCAAAAATGAGAATAGAGGATGAGAATTGATTTAATTAGTAATGGATAGCTTCCCCATCCACTCATCAGCCTGTCCATAATCAACACTAAGCTCTCGTAATGGAGGAATATTCTCCATAGCAAAAAGCATAAGATGAGGAAACGCAAGATTCGAGTGATCATACAACACCAACTGCACCAACACATTTGGAGATGAACTGTGACTCATATAACACGCAAGATTCCTCATTCTTGAAACATCCATCGCAAAATCCAAAGGAGGGACACAAGGGTATGATGGTCTTACATAATCAGAAAATATTTGACTCAAATCACCCCATTCTGCCCATCTCTCACTGAATCGATTCGGATAAATTAAACTATCACCATTCATGGTAAAAAGTTGTGCTTGCTCTCTTGTAAGAACAAGCCCACTATATTCACAAATAAAAGAACCCGCTTGTATCAAATCTAGTGATCTAACTCCCCAACCGGTTTCCCTTGATCTAAAAACTTCAAAACGGTTTCTCACACCCTTTTGGCTTACACGGTTTTGACAATTAGGAGGACAACGGCAGAAAGGTCCACATTCGAATATCAGTGGCTTCCCTCTCACAAGAAGACCGTTTGAATCATAAGCAAACTCACCACCATTCTTCTGAGCACAAAAACAATCTTTTGAACATCCCGCGACACACATGCACCCACCTCCTACGTGATGATACACAAAAGGGGGGAAAACAGTTGTCTTTAAATAGTCATAGTACATTGGTTCGTGATTGCTATCAATGTCATTGAATAGAAACACTGGGATGTTTTCTTTCTTCATTGATATATCAAAGCTAACATATCCAACAGGCCTAACCTCTAAAGGTTTTGTCCTAAGATTCTCTGCAAGTTTAAGAAGTGCACTACCCATTTCAGTTTGGTTTTCCATTCTAACAAGCTTGAACTTATACACTCCAAAACCAGATTTACCCACATCAAACCAAGCTTCGATGATTTTGTAAAGTCCATCATAAACGTAAACTTTCCCACTGGGACTACCTTCATACTTAAACCCACGGATTACTCTTACCTCGATTCCATAATGCATGCTTCTTTCCATCGCAAGATTCCCACCTTCCAATTTCTGATGAACGACTTGCTTGTTATTCTTATCTTGTCCGCCATGACCAGTGTAGACAATAACATCGCCAGCATCTTCATCATCTTCATACCCACCGGAAACAATCACACTGGTGGCAATCGGTTCCCTATTGGAGCTCTGATTCGAGGTTAAGTAATCAATCCCTGCTTGCACTTGGCCGTGCATCCCCACAACGCATAATTCCATTCTGAAAAAGAATACATCGCCGACGTGAACCCCAGGAATCTCCCCAACAATCCGCTTGTCTCGATTCAACCATAGGCCGCGGTCTTTCATCACCGCAGAAGCTTTCAGATCGCCCCGGGCACGGGGAGTAGAGACGATTCCGAAAGACCTACGTTTATCGTCTGCCATAACGACTAATACCCTAAGCGAATCATAAATCATCCTCGTTTTCCTTACCACGTCTCGAAAGTACCTCTCGTCCTCGATTCCAAGGTTTGTAACTCTAACCAATTCCGACGACCTTGATGGATTCTTCCGGCGAGACGGCACAACGACGGTAGAAAGTTGGTTTTCTTCGGGAACCGGCACGATTGCTTGCGCGTCAGGATCCGTGGCTTGAATTTCGTCGTACGTCTCCATGTCCTTAGCAAATGCCGTTCGAAACATCTCCGATATCCTATTGTATTCTGAATAGACATTGTTTTCGTCTACTTCGGAATGTTCGACTAGTGCTGTGGTCGGCTGTGAAATGAGACCCAAAATAGGGTTAGAGTTGGATTCTGGTGGGACATCAACTGATTCATCGAGAGGTTCCAGTTTGGGTTCAACTTTCGGGATGATCGAGATTGCAGCAGTATCGGCGTAGCCGGTGGCGATAGTGGTGGTGTTAGGAGGATCAGGGTAGAGATTAAGATCAATTAAAGAACCCATTTCTTTGTCAATTGTGTGCAAGGAAACGGATAAAGAAAGAATGAATTTTTCCTAAACGCTCATGGATGGGGTGAAAACGAGTGCAGAGTGGTTAAAAATGATGTATTGGTCTGGCGATTCTGTGAGGGAAGCTGGATATTGAGAGAGAGAGAGAGAGAGAGAGAGAGAGAGAGATATGCAGAAATCACGATAAAGAAAGGGAAAACCCAATGTGAAAAAATGTGTGATTTTTTGCTCTCCGGCTCCTTTTTCGACTCTTTCTATCACATATTTATTTTTTATGACTAAATTATATGAATTAGTATTATATGGATTAATTTAAAAAAAATAAATATAAATATCAAAATAGAAAATTTTAAATTTATAAAAAATAAGAAAAATAATGAATTATTATAATAGAAATATTTTTTATTTTTTTTCAAGTTAAACAAATAATTTAAATAAATTAAAGAAAACTAATGAGCTTTAATTTTGAGAATTTTGAAACTAAAAAGGTAAGTTATTAATGAAATTGATATTCATTTATTACTATATTTATTGCAATTATTATATTAAAAAATTATATAAAATCTTAATAATCTCTAAATATTATTAAAAGAGAACCCTTAATTCTAAATTGAAGAAATCAGGGTCATTGATTGTATTTTAATCTTATATTTTCCACCATTGGATTATTTGTTGACATCATCTTTGTGAACCTCTTTATTTTTGTCCATAAATTTTATAAAACGTATATTACGTTTTAATTATAAATTTTATTAATGACAATTAAATCTCACCAAAAATAAAATAAATTAAATTAGGAATTCTATTAATTGACAATTAAATCACCAAAAATAAAATGAATTAAATTAGGAATTCTATTAATGACAATTAAATCTCACCAAAAATAAAATAAATTAAATTAGGAATTCTATTAATGACAATTAAATCTCACCAAAAATAAAATGAAAAAATACGCCCCACCCCTCATTACCAGTACCCCTACGCTCTCTCCCTCATTTATTTACATAAATTATCTAACATAAGTTTTGTAGTGGAGAAGAAAATGAGGGAAAGAAGAAATACAATATATGTGGGCTTCGATCTGTGTGGATCAGTCATGTGTTCGATCATCATGGAAGAAGAAGGAATGATATAGATATAAATTTTCTTTGGATTCTACTTTAATTTGATCGTTTAGATCGATTATGGGTACGTTTTAGATTATGTTTCTTTTATTTTGTTTCAACTATGAAGTTCCAATCTATAAAACCTTTCGATTTAAGTTTAAATCCATAATGATTATGTTTTCTGAATCTGCTTCGATTTTTGTTCTTATGATTTGTATTGTTGATTTTGATTTTTTAAGTTATAGGTACCTGGAGAGCAAAAGGATGGAAACAGCAACACCACTACCTCTCATCCATTGTTTCGATTTGGAAGATATGTCCATTAGGTAGTGAATTTGTATATGTCGATTTTATTTTTTATTTTTATATATGAATTTAGTCAATGATTTTTTTATGACTTACCAGGTCGTGAATGGAAGATATACTCGAGTCAATGTCTATATTCCTGGATTTGGAGATGGAATTCAAACCCTTATACCAGTGAGTGATCCACATATTCTGCAATTCAGCAAAACCCAGTGGTAATATGTGTTTTGATTTATTGTAAAAAACATCTTTTTATAAAAATACAAATTGGACTCTCAGAAATAAGTTATTCACCAATCCTTTTATAATATTATAAAAAAAACATCTTTTAGACTCAATAGCAAAGAAAAGACAAAGTTTTAGTATACCATGTAAATAGATTACATCAATAAATCTTATTGGAAAATGTTTGGGATTGATTAATTTTGGTTAATTAGCAGATTTTTTATTACCTTGCATTGTCCGGGCATGCCGAGAAGTATAGTAAGAACCTTGCACAACCTTATTCTTTCGTTTAACTG